TTGTTCTGGAACGTCTTAAATGCACGTTTGACTATGTCCTTATCCCCCATTTTCTCCATAATAAAAGATTTCCTCACTGGGGGGTAAGAGAAACTGGATCATTATTACTTGGACCCAAGCTAAGGGACATGTGTAAAGATTTGTTAACAACTCTTTTGTTTTCCTGAGTGGATGGAGTTTTCCTCCCAGATAAAGATGGAGAATTTCCCTTTCCATTTGAAGAGGCAGATGGTAAAGTTTTGGTTGGCATTGATGTGGGTCTTGAGCTTCTAGGTGTTGAAATCTGGTGTGCCTTAGATGTAGGCACCACCTGTTTCCTTTTTGTCTTTGTAGCACTACTTTCCTTATTAACATGGTTAACCTGTCCAAACTAGATGGCGGAAAAAAAACAAAAAGTAAAGTAGGGAATCAGACAACCAAATTACTAACCATATAACTTGAGATTTCACCAGTCCCATTTTCCAATAAACAATGTGATGGACATATAACTTAAAGCATACCTTCTTAGATTCCTTTTGATGATCCAATTTCACATCTTTCGCTTCAACTTGAGATGCCTGTCCCTTTGCTATCCCATTGTCAACATTGCCTGAAAGTTCCTCCTTCACATTTTCAGCGTCAATGGGATGGCTTTCTTCTTTTGCGTAGACAGCTTCAGGTTCTGTAGTACCAAGCTGGGAACCATCTGATCTGCTTTCCGGTTCTTTTTTCTCTTCATCAGTTGATGTGCTTTGATAATCTCTGGATTCTGCAATATCTTCTACCATGCCATCCATATGTACCCCACTGACCTCACCAGTTGAATTGGTCGCCTGCTTAATCTCTTTAATGAAAGAACCTTGACCTTTGGATGCATGGAATTCTGCATCAGCCCTGCAAGTGTTGTTTGATGCATCAAATTCTGCATCAGTCCCGCAAGTTTTGTCACTCAGATCTTCTGATTTCAAACGATCCTTCTCCATTTGCCTCTCTTGATCCAGCAATTCAGCTTTCCGGGCAGCTATTTTCTTGTAATGGGCTTCGAAATAAGCTTTCTTCTGAGCTACTGATCCAGGTGTGGCACACTTCTCAACTTCCTCCAAGTACTTGTTAGGAGAGAAAGACGACCATTTCTCCCAAGAGAGAGACTCCCTCTCAAATCTACCAAACGAAACAGACACTTGCAAAGAAGAATTGGAAGCCACCGTCTCTCCCATCTGCTTAATAGAATAGAAAAAACAAAAATTCTTTGCATAAGAACAAGTAACAAACAGAAAGACATCTCAAGCTTTCGCCAAAAGCACAGGGATCTGAACAATCATGACTTGGGAATTGACCGACCATATAGATTTGAAATCACGCCAAGTGAAAAATGAAGTTTTAATCCATACTTTTGCGGATATCTAAATGTTAAATGGTTCACCTTATCCTCACGGATCGGCGCATCCACCATGAATTCACCCATAGAAAGTAAAATCCCTACTCAGATATCACTCCAAAACGGAAGATGTGCACGGCATGGTCTGAGAAGGAGCAATCAAGTAAGTCAGGGAATCTCACTGGAAAGACCAGAATCAAGAAAGCCCACAATGGGACAAAAAGAAAAAATCTATAAAAAAAATTGCAGAAACTGATGACTAGAAGGAGGAATGGGAGGTCATGTGCCTGTGTTGTGAGAGCAATCATTCTTTCCTCTTACTTCAATTTCTTCCTCACCTATCCATGGCAAACGACATCGTTTGTCTGCTTGTTGTACTTCTGGAAACTCCGAAATGATAAACCCAATCATCGAGGCAAAGCAAGACTCTCCACAAAAGCGAGAGAAAAGTGCAAGCCCAGGGCCATATATAAATCACTTGAAATATAGCTCGGCAGACGATTTAACTTTTAATGGCATTCAAGTACTTGCTTTCCGGACAGGGCCAAAGTCGAAGAGCTTGAAGCAGTAAGTGAGAAGGGATGATAAAAAGGATATAGTATAAATTATTGAAGGAAAACCCTGACCCAGAAAGAAAAAGGCAAAAGAAAACAGAATCTAGCAAATAATTTAAGGGAGGGAAAAAGAAAAAAGAGACCAGCTGGCTCAATTAAATAAAGGAAAGTGGGTGTGATGCATTGAATAATAAAAACAAAGATCAGTAGATAGATCACATTCCAAACTCATCAACTAAGCTTCTGAAGGATCATACCAAGAAATATCTCGCTCAAAGGTCTGAGAGAGAGAAAGGGGGGGAGAGAAAGAGAGACGCAATAACATAAAGACGATGTTGGTGATTCAGATGAAGCATGAAAGGGAAGGTAGAGAAAAGAGTGAAGGCCCACGTGAAGAATTGAGAGTGTGAGAGGTTGAGAGGAACATTGGATGGGATGGGTTTGGAAACTAACCTATGTGTGCGCCTTCCTTGGGCCACACCACCACGGGGACCCCGACTCTGTTAGTTGAACATCTCATTGATTCAGAACTTTAAACACGGCGACGGTGAACAAAAAGTTACCCAACCTAAATCATATGTTGCATCTAATCATTCATTGATTTATCGCCCAAAATTGTCTGCATCATCAATATCAGTGTACGCTTTTGACAGCTTCCTTTCTTTGAGCTTCTTTTGTCTTTTGGAAAACTTTTTTAGAAAAAAAGGAGCTTCTTCTGGGATCTAATACACTGTTCTTTATTGTGAAAATTTTAACCCGGTTGCAAGACGAAAACTCGAAGCAACCCCTTAAGTTGTATCTTAGCTGTAGTACGAGACATTATAAACTTTATATTGATACATAAATGTGCTGAGTGAGTTTTATATTATGTGTTATAAAGGGCGTCCATGCAATAGTGTTGTTACGGCTGATGACGGCTCTTCAATTCACTGGTCGGAGGGCAAATCATTCATTAAGTTTTGGTACTTTCTCTATGGCCTTTACTGTCTTCTTTCGGCGGATAGGTATCATCTTCATTAATCCTGGTTGGGATGGGGTTACACTATTATTGCCGTTTGTCACGAAAATGCCTGCTCTCCCTCTCCCTCTCCCTCTCTCCCTCTCTGGTCGATGTGGATATCTCCCTTCTCAGAGTCAAAGCATTCTTAATTTAAACTGAAAATGTCACCATCTGATACATACTGCACAGGCATCTTCTTACATATAATCTGAATAAGAAATTCACATCCTTTTAAACATTGCATCTTGCCATGCATTTTAGACATTACAACCTCAGAAGCAAGGTTCGCTCATGGGTTTGGACTAATTCACTGGTAATGAAACTGGACTCAGCCCTTTGAGCCCAATGGGCCTTTTGTTAATGGTTTTTGCAATTAAGTTGCCTGGGCTTAATGGAAGCATAAACTTATTTAGCGAAAATAGCTTAAAAAAAACTCAATTAAACAATGAAACACGACAGGGACTCTGGAGCTGTCGTTGATTTTTCCTAATTTTGTTTAGTCAGACCATATGTAGAAGGCCGATCTTTGTCCTTTTATCTTGTCTTTAACTCAAAGGCTACCATAACCCCCAATTGCAATCTAAAACATGATTTATGTATGCTCCGTCATGTTCATTCAATAACTTTCATGTTTCTCTCTCATGACTTTTTTTTTTTGGCCCCACATGTAGCATGCACGAAACTTCTAGCTGTCATGACTAATCTAAATTGAAAATTTAATTGGCAGAACCTTCTTACACATGTTTTCCTTCACAGTCTAAGCGAAAGAAAAGGGAGTGAACTGAGGGGTTGAACTCGTGAAGGACTTTCAATTTTGTTTAGGGAAAAAAGATTGTCAAACATGACGGGTTTTAATATAGCATTCTGGGAAATAATTCTCACGGTATAGCATCTTGGTAATTTATTGTATTGTGTGCAGCATTTTTTATCAAAATGCAGTAGAGTTTAAGCAAATCGAAAGCCTTACAGTTCATTACTGCTTTTAATGAATAATGTAACTAGGAGCTTCAACCAACTGTTATTAAATAGTTGAGGAAGTCAAACATGAATGAGCACGGATCACTTAATAATAATACTGCCAGCTAAGCTTGCCACTCAGACACGGAACAGTTGAAAATTACAACAAAATGAGTTGCTAGGTTGCACTTGGTATGAATTATCTGCAAAAAAACAAAAAAAGAATTATATTTTTATATTTGAAAAATAAATTATAAATATCCATATACAGACTAATACAGTTCATTTGAGAATTGACGTTGTATCTGCATCACCATCAGTTCTCCATAAATGAACTATAATTTCGCGCATACGCAAAACATAGTTTTACAGTAAAATGCACCGGTTTCAAAACTACTTATTCATTAATTATTTAAACTATTCATTTGGGTACTTTTGAGGATATTTATTACTCAGGTAACTTCATAGTGGAATGGTTGAATCCAAGTTGGATTTGACGAGGGAAACTGAGGAACAGTTTTGAGGGGGAACAAGAGCTGGCACTGACACGCACAGAGAGAAGAATCTAAGCCTACCAAACGCTACATTTAAAAAACAAAAAAAAAAAGAGAGATTTTGAATGTTGATTCATAATCATTGTAATATTATTATTTGATAATAATTAATATATGTAAAATGACTACGGACAGAGATGCCCCCTCATGGGATGCTCTGGAGTTTCATCCCACATTCACACTTCTTTTCCGGACGACTTTGGAGCGGTAAAACGTAAAAAGGTGAATTAATAATTAGTCCGCAAAAAGTTAAATACTTAATTATTTAAAAAAACAAACTCATTAAAATTGTTGTTGGATTCCTACTTTAAAGCAAAGGAAAACTCTGCAGAGTCTATCCATCTGGTTGTGCATTAAAAATCACAATGCTTGTTTTCTTTTCCCCTTTTCTACTCCTTTTCCAGCCTAATTTAGCTTTCTCTATCAGTGAATCCGCGATCCATTCAACATATGCATCCATCTCCATCGGAATCCTAAGACCCAAAATTTCACTTCTTCCATTCATTTTCTGTTTTATTATTATTTTTTTAACCAAATTCCATGAGTAAATACTTCAAATGAAAAAGAGAACCAGACGCTTACAACAACATTCAATAGCGGTAAGAAAAGAAGATGACAAGAAAATCAATTCGCAGTATAGCAACAATGGACAACTGTCTCGTTACTCTCCTCCAACATGCTTCTCCTCCTCCTTCGCATTCAATCAATGGTCCCCATCCACAGAACTCAGCCCCACCCCCCAACCAGCAAAATTGTTCCTGAGATGGAACCCCCAGAAAAAGAAGAATAGGATTCAACTCTAACAATACCTAACAATCACAAGAATTTTAAAATTAAAGAGAAAATATAAGAATGAAGAAAAGAAAAGAAAAGAAAAGCCAAGCCCCCCCTCCCAAATCAATCTCCCAGTTCTGTACACTGCTTGCTACCAAAGAATCCTAATCACTTCATCACAACAAATCATGAGCATATCCAACCAATATCGAAGATGAGAAGCTCCATGGCTGATCCCTCCCACTGTTCTGATGTCTCTGTGGTGGCTTGTAAAGATCGTACGGCTCCCAGAGACTGTCCAGCGGGCAAGGTTGCTTCGCATCTAGCCTCGCCCATGGCTTCCCTTTCCCGCTCCAATGAAGAAGACTTACAGGACCTGGATGCAACGACCTGCATATACCGTGCACATTATCTCCGCCTAACCCGTGTTGATTCCATCGGTGATCGATAGCTTCAACATTCCCCGCGAAAACCAGCAAGAAAGGAGGAAGCGAACCCAGTTCGTAAATCCGCTTCTTCCTCTGTAACTCCATCCAATTCTCGATCCTCTTCCTGTAATTTCCCTCCCTCCACCTCACCATGTCCATCACCATCACGCCCGTGTTGAAGTAACAGGGCCTTCTAGAAGCGAAGACACGTGAAAGAACAGGGTCAGACCAGAAAGTGTCGGTGAAGTACTTGGTGAAGTTGGCGTGGCAGTACTCGGGTGCTCCGATGACCCGTGACCCGGATAGCGTCACGTTCCAGAGCTTGTGGATGTCGTCGACAACGACGAGGTCGGAGTCCAGGTAGATGACCCGATCCACACATGGCTCAAGGATGTCGCCGAGATAGTTCCTCGCGTAGTTCAGTGGGTTCTCGAGGGCTTGGCGAATGGAGGAGGAGATGAGGTTTATCACTGTGTCTTCCCTGAAAATGTAGACCTTAAAATTAAGGGAAGGGAACGTGGTCCGGACGAGTCGGGCCAGGACCCGAGGACTTGCAGGGTCAAACTCCGCCGCGATGAAGTGGAAGAAGACGTTTTCAGGGCATGAGGAGTGCCTCAGGATGGAATGGACTGTGGCGATGGAGCCACGTAAGTACCCGGAATCTAGCGTGATGGCTATGTGAACCAGAGAGGGGTCACAGCGCAATGTTACGTCGGTTCTATTGGTCGAAACAGGACACCCTGCTCCGTTACGGTAGTCCGGCGCCTCAGCGAATCGGGCCAAACCGTCGAAGCCCATTTCAGAGCCGCCGACGACATCGACCCTGGTAGGAAACGACCGAATCCCAAGGGAAAACGGCGGCAAAAAACAACAAACAAGAACTAACAAACCGACGCGGCGTAACCGAAAGGGAAGCATTTGCGGCTCTGCTTCAAGAAGAAGAAGAAAGATACAGAAAAAGGGTGGTTTCTTAACAGAGACAGAAACTGTGGCTCAGAGATTAGAAATCAGAATAACATTGGGTTGCACCGGAGAGATTACTGTGAGGAACAGTGAAATGAGATAAGGGAAGACGAGAAATAGGTGAGTGGTGATACCATTTTCTTGTGGGTGGTGGTCGTCGTCGTCGTCGTCGTGGCGTGCGGCGTTGTTCTTTTCTTGGTGGAGAGAGATACGGCTTTGCTTCCTCAGAAAGAGAGGAACAAAGAGATGGAGGCTCTGCTGTTGGTGGTGCTGGTGGTGGTGTCCTCAGAAAGTTATTACTTATGTCTCGTCTCTCTCTCCTCTCGATTTCTTTGTTCTCTCTCATCATCGTCGAAGAAAACAAAAAACAAAATGAAAATGGTCGGTTTTATTAAATACCACTGTCTGCCCAAAACCTAATGAGGTTGGTTAATTACTTGATTATATGAGGATTTGGACGATAAGCACATGTTCCTCTGTTTCCCAGAGCCTATATTCTTTTTCCTCTCTCTCTCTCGGCACTCTACTTTGTACTATAATTCACAAATTTATAATTATGGATTAATATTCATGTTTAAGGGCTAGAACCTTCCAGTAGGGTGGTAGTATTATTCATTAAAAAAAAAAAGAGAGTAATTAATTAAGAAGAGGGATTTGGTGAAGAAATTGTACGTAGTTATACATTGAAGAGGCCAGCTAAGAGGCTGAAGGGGTATATAGGAAATAGTGAAAACAGAGGAGGCTGTTTAATGAAGCATAAATGGGGATTCAGTTCAACGCATCAATGCGCCGGTGAATAATTAACATGAAATCAAGTATCTCTTTTGTTTTTAGTTCAGACTAAAGCCATTCATTGCTTCAAAAAGCCTTCTCTCTTTCTTCCTTCTCACCCCCGTCCATTCTTATCTCTCTCTTTTTATTTTCGAAATAATTCAAGTAAATTTTAAATTACTCGTGTAAATTCATGTTAACAGTTTTACGAAAAAAATCATCAAAAACATGGTTTTGATAAAAATATGTATTGATATTAATCTCACGTAACTAGGGGTGAGCAAATAGCCCATAACCCGCTAGCCCGCCCATAACCCAATAATTTTTTACCCATTAAAGCCCGCCCAATTAGCCCAAATAGAAGATAATAAACGGGCTGACTTAAATGGGCGGGGTAGCCCATTAAACGGGACGGGCTATGGGTAAGGCTTCGGGCTGCCCATACCCGCCCATTTAAGTTTTATTTTTTTAAAAACATATTTTTATTCTTTAGAGTTTAGACCTAGCTTCAGCCTTCAGCTGCCTTTCATTTCGATTTCACAAGCTTTCATTATCCGCTTCTTTCTATTCCAGTTTCCACTCCGGTTCGGCACTTCCACTCTTTCGAGTTTCGACTGAAGTACTGAACAGTGAACATTAAACAACTCTCTCAGCGTCACTACGTCTCCGCTGCCTTCGATCTGTGTCTGCGTCTGAGCTCCTCTGCGATTCGACTTCAAGCCAGCTGCCCAGTTTGCTTCTAGCTCCAGCGGTCTGTGAACTGTAATCGATTCGTCTGCGAGGGAGTGAGGCCGTGACTTTGCATCTTCATCTGCGACATTGGAGCTCCAGTGAATTAGTAATCATCTGCGAGCCTGTGACGCTGGGTTGCTGCATCTTCATCTTCGACATTGGAGCTCCAGTACTGCGTCTTGCCATCTTCGAGTTCGAGTTCGACTTCTCGCCTCTCAGCAGCTTCTCGTGGTGGACTGGTGGCGGCATCCCTCGATTTGTTGAAGATTGAAGCAAAGGTCGCTATCGCTGGTGCCTGGTAGCTTATTGTTCGGTAAATTTTTGTTTTTGACTTCTCTCTGTTCCAGTGTTCCTCCATTTCGTTGTCTCTCTGTTCGGCTATTCCAAATAATGACTATTGGGTTTGAATCATCTTGGTCGGGATGAATTTGGGGCTTCCGGGTAAAGGAAATTATTGAAGCAAATAATTTAGATCATGATATGCACTCTTCATACGTCTCAATAATAAAGCAAATAAGCAATAATATCTCACCCCAAAAAAGAAAATAATTCAAAGGCCAGATAAAATTTTAGCGCAAACACAGTCGACTTTTTTAACAGAGATGTACAATGTGCAAACGCTGAAGAGTCCCTCCACATATATTAAGTTCGTCAATTAAAAATTTAAATGTTGGGATCTATTATTTTGTTTATGACTTACTTATATATAACTAAGATTACACTATGCTGAAAAAATTGTAAAAAAAAAGTAAAAAAATAAATGGGTTACCCATAACCCGGTCAGCCCAAACGGGCTGCCCCGCAACCCATTTAATACGGGCTAAAACGGGCTACTACCGGGTTATGGGTTAGCCCATGCCCGTTTATTCATAAATGGGCGGGCTATGGGCTAACCCTTGGGCTAGCCCAGCCCGCCCATTGCTCACCCCTACACGTAACTAGGTTTTGGGTTTGATATTGATATTAAAACCTAAAAGAATGAAAAGTTTTAAATTGCATTATTGCCTCTTTTTCATCTTTAATTTCAAATGAACAAATGTCTCTATTAGAGAGATAAGAAGTCGTGTTCGATTCAAACGTACCGTATCCTAAACCAAAGTTAATTAAAAAAAGAACATTATTAGTTTATTTACACAGTCCTTTAACCAAACAGATTACAAAACGTCCTCTAAAAATACAAAAGATGAAGTTAGTAGAAGAAAAGCACCCCCAACAACCACAAAGCACTAATGAAGAAGGAAACTAAATAAGCAAAAGACAAGACATATTATTCATCACAATATTCAATTAGATCAATATGTTTTTAATTTATTTTTTTTTAACAAATGCCAGGTGTTCCACTACCCAAGGGAAAAAAATAGTTGTAGGACCCCCCCAATCATTACATATATCTATATACCTAAATACATACATATGAGAACATGATAAATAAATTAAGAGTCTCAAGAATTTAGATGTAGTATAAGTTTAGACCTCCATTTTTTTTTCCAAATGAATAATTATAAATTACGAATATCATTTGAAGGGCAAGAGGAAAAAAATAATCTTTTTGAAATTCTGAGGATGGGATCAAGCAGTTCATGGGCTGGCTTGGGAGGGACAAATGAGAATAAAAGAATTTAAAAAAAGAAAAAAGGAAAAAAACGGTGAAATGATGAGAGGGTGCCAGCTGGAACTGGCACGTAAGGAGGGGCCCACTGCGTCATTGTGATTGATTAGAGAGATTTTCAGAAGCAAAAGGCAAAGGCATGAGCATTTAGCAAACATCCCATGTGATGACCTGCACCTTCGTACCTGTACTCCCCTAATTTCCCCTTCTACTATTCGCCCACATCCAATCAACGAATCCGCTTTCGTCTCTGTAAACCTATAATTGGCAATGTAATTTACCCACATGTTACCTTTATAACCCTCAAGCTAAACTGCTAAATATCCTGTACTTCTTCCGTAGGGTATTTTTCATTTCTTTCTCTCCTCGGGTTAATTAATTTTTTATGATGCATATTTTTTGAGCAAGTTAAATTTTTTAGAAATACTCCGAACGTGATGGATTGTACTGTTCTGTTTTTATTTATAAGTTATTGTGTAGAGTAATTAATATTTTTTTATTTTACCTATGCTGACTTAATTAATATAAGGAAGAATAAAGTAAATATGTGAGAGAAAGTATAAAATATATTGTTAATACATTTTTTTTAATAGGAACAATGTGAAAGTAAAATTATCAATTTGATGTATTTTTTATTCGCAAACTTAGAGTAACAAGCCAAGGGAAAATATGTTGATGTTTTTTTTTTTCGTGTGACTTAAAATTAACACTCCTCTAGTCATAAATATAAAATTTACCACCCAAATCCTTTTTTTTTTTAATATTACCCTTATTTTGCCCGACGCATATTTGTGGTAAAAAATGGGACCGAAGGATGACATACGCATAATCATTTGAATTTTCATAGGTGTAAAGTTGAGGGGAAAACTACCAGAAATTTCGAGAGCATGTAGAAGAAAGAATGAATGGAAGTCGTGGTCGTAATGGACGTGGCCGTGACGTTATGTGTTTGTGAGGGACTGAGCATATTCTTGACTTCTCCTGCACTTTTCTTTTCTTTTTTGGGGTCAAATATTGTGAACTTGTGTGCATGATGGAATTAGTCGTCCTTTTAATAATTACTTATCTCGATTTTTAATATAAGATATTGTTTAATTTTTATTTTGATCTTAAATTATTTTGTTTTTCATATCTATATATTCTTTTAAAGTGATCTTTTTAATGATAGTAGTTCTAATTAATACATTTAATTAGTAAGAATATTTTAAAAAAAATAACATCTATTTATTATAAATAACTAATTTATTTTATTTTTTTAATATTTTCAAATTAGTTAATTAGCTCTTATATTTAGGATCGGAAATATTAGCACTGTTGAGAAAAACGTTTTCTATTTTCACTGTTTCATAGAAGTACTCTATAAATATAAAAAAGAGTTGCATCTTCTGAGTGTGAATTTGAATTGCTCTTTAATTTGTTAGCATGATATTAATATTAATTAAGGTTTATTTGAGGACCCTCCATGTTGGTTGACTCAACTGGGAGTCGCTTAGCTTCCGCTTTTGTCGCCATTTACTCTCAAAAACCACAATTATCACCAACAACACATTTTTAACTCACCCACGCTTGGATTGTTCTCAAAGCCACCACATGTCTTGGAAACGGCCAGCCAGAAATTTTTTTTCCTAAAAAAAAAACTTATTTAAAACTGAATATTGTTTTTGGAAAACTTTTGAGGAAAAAAATATTTTGTGTGAAAAATTTATAAAATATCAATACTTGATTTATCAGATCTTTTGTATCATTAGAATTTTTAATACGAGATTTTTCCCATTTTCCTTTTTTATTTATTTTCATATATAACTAAAAATATATCATGCAAAGGCACCACAGGATGTATTCCTATTAACCAATACTAATTAGACAGGTTAATTAGATAGACTTCCCGTATCTCTTGCATATGAAAAAAACACTCGCTTTAATTTTTTATACAAGACATACTTAACCAATTTAGATATATTAAACATTAAATAAATTAGTTAATTATATCACATATTTCTTGATCTCTATAAAATAATTCGTATGACATTATACTAAATATTATTTTATAAATTAGTTAAATTAATTTAAATAAATACTAAACATGGAATGTGAAGTAAAATTTTATATTTTCTATCAAATTCAACTCTCCACCTACCTCTAGGCAGCAGATGGAGTAGCTTTTAGTGTTGATTTTATTAAAATTAATTGCATAATAAAAAATTTTATACAGAAGGGGAGAAAAAAAAAAGTTATGAAAAGCATGGGGATGCAGGAAATGTGCGAACATTTTCTGCATGGCAAATGAAAGCTGTATCCGAATGGCAACATTATTTTCCCCGTGACAGTTTCAAGTTTCAAGGCACCACCAAATTATTATTATTATTTGATAAAAAGAAATTTTAAATTTCAAGTAGTACAAAAATAAATAATAAGTTTCTAAAAAATGTCAACTTTATACTGAAAACTGAACAGGCACGAAGAAAAGTGGAAAACAGGGAACCTCTGTATACGATGAATAATGGTGTCAGGTGAATAATTAAAAGCTCACACACTGACACTGTCTCCGCCTCTCATACAGATTCTGCCACCTCTCCAACTTGGCGTTTAATAATTATTATTATTATTTTATGAATAATTGTTATTAACTTATTACTACCTCCCGTCCTAATTATAAAAACCAGTTGACTAATTTTAAAAGATTAAAAAAGTAAGTTGAGTTAGTTATTTATCCTAAATAGGTGTTGTCTTTCTTTAAATATCATTGCTAATCAAGTGTATTAATTAGAATTATCATTGTTAGAAGAGTTACTTTGAAAAAAAAATATAAATATGAGAGACAAAATTGATTGAGGTCTTATATTTAGGACAAAAAAAGTCAAATAGGGTCTTATATTAAGGACCGGAGGTAGTATTATTATTATCATTTTTACAAACTGCCTTGTTTGACGTCCACTGTTCACTAGGCTCTGTAATATATTATCTTCGGTTCTAATTATAAAAACTAGTTAACTAATTTAAGAAAATTAAGAAAAAAGTTGAGTTAATTATACCTCCGGTTCTTAATATAAGACCTCATTTGACTTTTATTTTGGTCCTAAATATAAAACTTCAATCCACTATGTCTCTCATATTTATGTATTTTTTTTTCAAATAATTCTTCTAACAATGGTAGTTCTGGTCAATACACTTGATTAGAAATGATATTTTAGAAAATACAACACCTATTTATTGTAAATAACTAACTAATTTTCTCTTTTTAAACTTTTCAAATTAGTCAACTAACTCTTATAATTAAGACAAAAGGTAGTATAATACGCTTGATACTAATCCTATGCCATTTTGGATTTGCACGTGAATAACTTACATTTTAAGTGGGTAAAATAATGTTGAAAACTGGGAAGCATTCCACCGCACGTGTGACCTGTGAGTGATTATTTGAATTTGAAAATTTCTTGAGAGAATTACCATCCCATACCAAAAAGAATAATTACTGATAAATCTTAATAATAAATAAGCAGTTATTATTTATTAGATGTAATTTTAATTTGTCATAGCAGATAAATCTGTTATTATTAAATTTAGTAATTATGTTTCTCGGACTTCATAGCAGTTTTCCCAAAATTTTTATACAATTATTATAGTAATATTCAATACTACTAAATTAAATTAATTTTATTTAAATGAGGAGAGCATAGGATGCTCAGATGGATGGTACGCATGGGATAATGGGGAAGCCAGAGAGGATCTGACGGTGGCGCTTGTCCTCACGTGATTTGTCCAATAAGATGCTGCCACATCGGAGCAGGATGTCATAAAGATGGAATGAAGGCCCGAAGCACGTGGATGGCAGTTTGGGTTCAGGGCCGAAGCGGGGCTAGCTTGCATGCACCCCCATGGTGTGACGGTGGACTTTATCATCACGAGCCTCCGGATCCCAATTTTCTTGACAAACTTTTTGGGACAATTACAATAAAATCCCAAAAAAATTACTACAAAATAAGGCACAGAGATTGTTATTCTCCATTCTAATTACTAGCTGTTCAGGTTATTATTTAAACTCTTTAGTAATTTTTTTTTCGAGACTTATTATAATTCTCCTAAAAATTTTTCCTGTCATAAATTAATGTATATTCCTGTATCTTCCTTTGGGTCAGCAATAGGCTGAACCCATGGCGTAAACCCTCACAAAATTTCAATATTTATCATTAGAAAGGAGCAAAATTTCAGGATAGTGTCAGAAAGCTTTAGAAGCCAGTTGTGATTAAAAAAATTACCTGGGCTAAAATATGATTCTCCCCCAAAAAAAGTCACTTTAAAATTAAAATCAATTGAGATAAAAATCATTTTTATCAACTCAAAGCTGTTTAAAATCACCAACAGAGAATTGAGTCTAATAAAAGAAATTAGTCTTTCATTCTCAAAAGATGATGAATAAAAATTTGAATCTTTATTAGAAAAAGCATCTATATTCAATATTTGACGGTACATTGAATAAAATTGCTTCCGCCCGTTTACACACACATACAGTCTAGTACTAGCTCAGTTGGTAACTCATTGAGGGGCTTTTTTTTTAAAAAAAATAAAAAAAATAAAACGTCTTTGGTTTTAAATGCAAATAAGGGTAGGCTTGTAGTACAAACCAAAACGTGCATCCAGAGATATACCACAGGAAGAGGGCCATCTTCGGGCAGGTCCACCAGAACATTAGAAGAAACAATGTTGGAAGAATCTTTTCAAACATGAGATGACAACAATCAGTCAAACAGGAGAGAATAACAAAGTGAAAGAATCTAAATGAGGTGGGATTTGAGCATTTATATGAGATCCAAAGACGAGGCCTCTTGTCCATGAGTTATAAATAATATGGCCTTATTTTTGAGAAAATCATCCATAGTTTTCTAAGGAAATTAAATACATAGATGGCTTTTAAAAAATTTTCATATTGACAAGTCACGTTATTTATAAATCAAATCTAGTAATTTCTGTTTACATGTCAAAACTTCATGTTTACAAGTTATGTCATCTACAAGGCAAACTCATGAAAATTTGAATTCTTTAAGACTTGGTATTATTTAATTTTTTGAGAACCTATGGATAATTTTCCCAATTTTTATAGTTATATTGATATACTAATGATGATATTAACTATTATATTGATTGATGAATGACTTCTTTAATTCTCCTTTCAGGAACAGAATAGATGGCGGACGAAAGGTTTTTGAAAACTGGATCGAGAAAGACCTGAGTTCTTGACGTTCAGGAAATTTGGCTCCAGAAAACATATCGGGAGGCTTGAATGCCAGTTAAACTAATGGCCAAAGGTAAAGCTTCCCGCCAATTAAGAAATTCCGGGAAGTTGAGCAATAATGAGCTCCTCAATTTAGCACATCGCTCAGTAGCTTTAGAAGCATAACCAATTACAGCAATGTTAAGGGCTTATATGACCGTTGGCTCCTTCAAAATTGCACGGAAAAAAAATGTAATATGCCCTAAAGCTATAGAAGAATCAATTTCCTATTCCAGCAAGTGCAGTTCAAAACAATAGGCAAAGAGATGAACTTCTACTCTTTTTACCATTTATTCATCGCTATCTTGAATGGTTTGGTACCAAGGGGTGAAAATGATTTGAAAATCCAAGAATTTATCATGGTAGAGTAACTCTTACTTCCTTCCTGTCAACCCCACATGCCTGCAATTAGGAAGAACCACAGTCGCAAGTGTTAGGCAAAGCAAATCAACAACTATCAATTAACTCATGCACCTTCTAAAACCCAATATCGCATCTTTTTTAACGTTGAAATTTTAATCACAGACGCATGCACGCGTGCTAACTAAATTGCATTCTTCTCTTTGATTGTAAGCCCTGGCCATTCATGATCCTGATATTATTAGCTTCATTTTCCTCAGTTTGAAAATAGCACAAACCTGTGCCTCAAGCACTGACAGTTTTTAGTTTGTCGCTAGTTTAAACTTAACTTATGAATAGTATTTTAAGAGTGAAACACGAAAGAAATTGATGATTGAGTAGGGATAGAATATGGATACCTCAGTCCCTAAACCATTAGCATATACATTGGTAAATAATTCAGATGGCTCCGGCAATGGACTCTCCTGAAGGTTACAAAAGAACACAACTCAGATGTCAGATCATACAGCTCACAACAGGAGATGCCGAGATGCAAATATATGGGATATTGTAAATTATTTATCCAAAAAAAGGAGAAAAGAGTTAAAAGAATAAATAGCAAAGATAATGCAGTTCACCTTTGCTTTAGCTATAGCTTCGTCAACTTCTTTTTTGACTTCCTTTTCAATGTCCTAGACAAAGAAAAGGGCAGAAGACATCTTTAGCATCAAATTCCAATGTGGCATCAAAATATGAATATAAATAAAATATAGATGACAGCGTTCATGCAAATGATTCCTAGAATCGATGGGACAGAAAAGACAGAATTTGGCAAACGTCTAAAAGAAAATCATATCTTAACTCATCATTAATTTTTTTTTTTTTAAAAAAAAGAATTTTCATCTTACATATAGCAGCAGTAACAGTTATGGGCTTATAACCTGTTTGGCCTAACTGGGAGGGTACTCCTTATTTTTCTGATTTTTTTTTTTTGAGGAAGTGACCTGTTTGGCCAAGTTTTTGCTCAGACCAAAAAAGGCTCATTAACAGAAGCAGTTTGCAGTTTTTCACTAAATACAGATTGCTTCTTTCTTACAGTGCTTTTACATAAAATTCTATTTGAAATGAAAGAGTTTCAAAATAGTTAGACCATAGCAATGCCAAATGAAGCCGAGCATCAAATGATGGAACAGCAAAACAATTCTACCAATCCACATTGTAACCTAAAAGGACTAAAATTTCATGAAAGTATTATAATATTGAAAAATATCAAAAAGAAAACACCCACATATAACTGATACAAACATCGCAAAATAAATAAGCAATCAAATAACAACAAATAGCATCCAGATGCTATACATTAACATAAACAATATATTTAAATTCTTTGGCATATTTTTAACAAAAGGAACATGCCTACTATAAATGGGTCACATATATCAAAGATGACACATAGAATACTTGAACCGAAAGAGCTGAGAGATATATCTTATTTAGTAAACCAATGAATCAAGCATAATTATGAACTTCGTTGGATAACCTTTAGTTCCTTTTCAGCAGCAATCCCGTGTTTCAATAACAGCTTTCTCACTCTCTCAATTGGATCACGCTCCTATAATCAAAACAACCAAGAGAATAACAACGTTCAAAATAAACTCTTAAAAAATTAATCTGGTAAGGATTTTTTATGCTGAGGAGTCTGATAAACCTGTCTCACGCCAGAAACCTCATCACGTGTACGATATGTGCTTCCAGGATCAGACATGGAATGGCCATGGTATCTGTAGGTGTCCAATTCAAGAATCTGAATAGAATAACCAAAAGGAAAAAAAATTATCAAAATCAAGAGTACAAAATTTGATAATTTGATTGGAATTCCTCAGCTTCCAGCAACTTTTAAGTTTAAACTAATATATAATACGTCATGCCCATTTTATCTAGGTGCATATACATTATCAAGCTCTACTACAGATGATGATGATGAGACACATGCCAAACTAGTCTGCAAAAGCAGATATTAATTGTCGACATAGTTAAACCTACCTCTATCTGAGGTTCTAAGGTGTAGGAAATGGTGACATGCCATGGTTGATTCCTCTAGGTCTAGATAATTAACTCAACTAATAGCAGATAAATGATCTACTTACAACGTTCAACCGCTTATAACTAACCATAAGAAAGAAATTCAACATAGAACAGCGATACTTTTACTCACAATGGGCCCATTCTTCAAGGCATACTCCTTTGCAAATTTACATGCCTGTTTTACAGCAAGAACATCCATGCCATCCACCTGTACAAAATAAAATTAGTCATTTAAAAAATAACTGTTTTAACAAGTTATTTGAGGAAGCTGTATCTATTTATTTCCCATTCATTCCATTCGAATAAACAGTTCAGAATCAAAAGAATTCTACAGCTAAAATGTATATTCAGATAACAATGACTATATATGCAGAAAAGCTTGCATAAATAAACGCACACTCCCTCAAATATTGCACACTAAAAATAATTTTGGTGAATAACATATATATGCAATTATAACTGAATCACACATAGCCACCATAGTTTTCACATAGTTAACCACCCCAGTAGGAAATGAGGTAAAATGCAAAGTACAGAGAAGGATCAATGCACAAAGTGGAAAAGAACCAATATACTGTGTCCATTATACATCATTCAGACTCTTCACGAGGTGGTCAAATGCTAACTGATAATTGTTAGTTCCAGAAGAGGTTATCAGGACAAAAGGCAAGGATGCTATGTTGAAGCAAGGAAAACATGAGATAAACAGTATCCTGGAAGAATTCATAGTATTAGCTTGTATGTTTACCTGCATGTTAATAGAATTTATATCCAGAGAAAGTCAAACAAAGCATGTTGTTGTTGTTGTTGTTAAGGCATTAGTATTAGACGTTTATATAGTTAAAACTTGGCAAAACCACATCTGGACGAGGCTTCCACCATACCAGGACATGGAATGAACCTTCACATTTCTACAATTGTGAACACAATTAAATCACTATCTGGCAAAAGAAGAAAACAATCAAATCACAAAACTCAATTTCTCCTCCAGCCCAAAAAAACGTAGGAACTAGTTTCTAGAAACATATTGGACTAACAACAAAAACCAGTTTAGTCTACAGAATGATTGCAGTTAAACCAATAAAGGCCTCGGCATATCCCAATTTTTGCTTTTAAAATTTTCCCCGGACATCAACCGGGTCTACATACAAATCTGGTCACTTATAAGAGGTTTATCAGGGTAGAAGGAAATTGGATTTCTCAACCACCAAAAATCAATGATCTGAAAGATACTTCAAAGTTACTTGAAAATGACGTTTCAACGTTATATGTATAACCAATAGAAAATTATTCAAACAGTCCACACTCATCCAACAGCAAAATTGCAGCATAGAGTTTGCGAGACCGTAAAACATGTATAACGCAACACTGCTGTCAAATTAAACAAGAGTCTTCGATCTTACCTTCAACCCAGCAACATAGTCGCCACGCTTGTAATAGGCAGGACTCTTAGCAGCTCTCCATTCGGCCGTCCCCATCCCATCTATTAAACAAATCGAATCCGATTAATGCGCAAAAGCCAATTAGAACGTTGCATTACTTTGACCAAATGAAACTACATACAATGATTATTCTCGCAGATCAAAATGGCAGGGAGATCCCAAAGCGCGGCTATGTTCAACGCCTCGAACAACTGGCCCTGATTTGCCGCACCATCACCGTACAAAGCGAAGGTAACATTTTCATCCTTAGAATACTTCTGAGCAAAAGCTAATCCACATCCCAGAGGTATCTGAGCCCCAACAATCCCGTGACCGCCATAGAACCCAGCTTCCTTCCTATAGAAGTGCATAGAGCCACCCTTTCCTTTCGAGCACCCATCTTGACGACCCATGAGCTCCGCAAATGTCTCCAACAGGGTTCCACCGCGGCCCATGAAGGTACAATGATCACGGTAAGATGTTATTATGCAATCCTTCTTGGTAATGGCAGCCTCCATGCCGACAGCGACAGCTTCCTGTCCATCGTACAAGTGACAGAACCCTCGGATGAGCTTAGACTTGTAGAGTGAATCCGCAGCTATCTCCATCCGCCGCATGAGGGCCATGTCGCGGAAGAAGGACATGAGTTCCTTGGGAGTGGTGTCGACGGAGGGCGAAGGAGTGTCGCAGTTGTGGGCGGTGAATGGAAGAGAGGTCTCAATGGTGAGAGTGGAGGAGTCATCGGCGGCAGAGGAGATCGAACGGCGGATAGAAGGGGCGGAGGAGAATGCAGAGGAGATGGGTCTGAGAAGCTTGGATCTAGACAAAGAAGAAGAAGAAGCGAAGCGAGAGAGAGCCATATGGATCTGCTAGACCCGCAAAGGAAGCCAAGAACACCAGAAATCTTCGTTCGGAGTTGCGGAGGAGAGAATGGGGCGTTAGGTGAGGACTGAGATGCAAGGGAGGGAAGGTGAGGTACTCTGAAAAGGAGAGAGACATCCCAAAATGAGAATTTCATTATTCAAATCAAAACAAAAGAAAAAGAAAAAAGGAATTTCTTTATGTCGTTTCGCCGCCGCCAGTTGGATGGAAAATGTCAAAACGGGCGCGAGCGTTCGATTCCCCCCCCCCCTTCTTCCCGGTTTTAAATGATGATTTTTGCTAATTACTATCAGAAAATAAACTTAATATGCTAAATTTAAAGAAAATGTCTCTTCAGTATATAAATTTTAGTGGCATCATTTTTTTAACATTTTTAGGGTTTAGAAATTGAAAAGACACAAGGCCAAAAAAAAAAAGAAATTGAAAAGACACCATATAAAATAAAAGATTATAAATAAAACCTTATAAGAAATTAGTAAAAATAATATATATTTAAAAAAATTGAATCGATAAAACATGAGTAATTTAAAGTTTCATAAATAGAGTATGATTTTGAGATTTCACTGATTGAATTATGCTAATTTTTTGCTAGTCTTTTTTATACGATTTTGCTAATATTTTTAGACCCATGTTTTAATTTTTTTATATTTAATTTGATTAAAATGAATCAGGGTAAATAATTATATATTTAAAGGAGTAGAATCATCTGGCCATAAAAAACTAGTAAAATAATTATACTTATGGAAAGTATGAATTTGTGAAGCTTGAATTCTTCATTCACACAGTGCTTTTTTACAATGACTGTGTGATAGAACTTCAAACGCAGCTTTTCCTTGTCAGTTCTATTTGATGTTTATAGATAAATGATTTTTTAATCATAATTTACAGGGTACGAGTTAAGTAATTAAATACTACCTCCGGTCTTACTTATAAGAGTTAGTTGACTAATTTGAGGAAATTAAAGAATGAAGTTAAGTTAGTTATTTATAATAAATGGGTGTTGTCTTTCCTAAAATATCTTTACTAATCAAGTATGTTGGTTAAAATTATAATTATCAAAAGGACTATCTTTAAAAAAATTGAGTAAATATGAAAGACAAAATGGATTGGGATCTTATATTTAGAATCACATAAAAGTCAAATAACATTTTATATTAAAGACCGGAGACAGTATTTCCGATTGGAACAAAACCTTGCTAAGTATGTGAAAGGAAAAAAAAAAAACCTTGCTAAGTTGTAACTGCGTCGTTGTTTGGTGCAAACTGCAAACTAGATGCTTGGTCTCCTCTCAGCCTGTGCCTCAACGTCATCGGACTGTCAGTCTCAAACCCCATCAAACAAGTGGACGCATTCGCTTAAAAAATCTTCGTCCATTTGCGGTAAAATAACAATACAATTGTAGATATATAATTTTTCTATGCTATTGAATCAATAGAAAATAATAAGAAAAAAGTTGTATATTGTTGAGTAATAACATCAAGGATGTGATGACGCATTGTGAAAAATGATTTATTTTCCCTCAACCCTACCAAACGAGGCGTAGATTGCATCATCGGATGGCCTATCACTAGCTTAATTACTAAATAAATATAGAAAAAGTCTCCTAACAATAAAATACTTCTATAGTTTTTAATATAAAACTAATTTAAATAAATTAAAAAATTTATTAAGTTAGTTATTTATAATAAATAACTGTTATTTTTCTTAGAATATCTTTGCTAATCATTTATGTTACATAAATCTACTATTTAATGAAACATGTATAATTACCACAAAACTTATTTTAAAAAAATAAATAAAATATAAAAATAAAATAAATTAGTATCTTATATTTAAAATTAAATTAAATATCAAACTAATTTTATATCAAGACATAAAGTAATATTACATAAATATGCCTTTTAAAATTCAGCGTGTGTTTTGGCCAAAAAAAAAAAAGGGTCAGCGTGTGTGGCCAGTGACCCGCGAAGGCTTCTTTCAAGTTGTTGCTGCTCGATGCAAAAAAGCCAATAGTTAAGAATGTTGAATAGATCCAATGGGATAAGAAAATGGGAAAATGACATTGAGGTCCCACAGAACCAAAAATACAGCAAAAAGGTCCCCTGAAATCCCATAATTTTTCTGAAGTCCCAAAGGGACTTAGATGCAATTTTCAGAATCTGGAAATTACCCTCTTGCCCTTGCTTATGAGATTCGAAAATGCTGAAAGGAGATTAGAGCCTCTGTTTTTTGTTTGACCGGAAGAAAGCTGAAACCCTGTTGTGCTTTTGTGCTGCTGGAAATCTGGTGAAAACCCATCGCGATGCTCAAATTCCCCTCACAACCCGCCGAAAATCGTGAGCCTTCGTGCTGGTTGGTGTGTGTTGTGATTTAAGTTGGGTGTGTAGAATGATAATGGGTGTTCTGTTTTTGGGTTGTTTTTGGGTGGTTTTCCTCTGTTCTGACGTTGGTTTAGTGGCAAAGGAAGAAAAAGATGAAGGTTAGTGAGGGTAGAAACCCTTAGCACGAAATGGGACTGTGTTGTCAATCAGGCCGCGATTGTTGTCAATGTGTGCCGCTACACTTGTCAATGTAGCTCTTTAAGTTGTCAATGACAGTTGCGTGCTTCTTGATGCAGGTTTAAGTTACTGATGGTATTTCAAAGCTTTTGTTTTTGGTTTAGGATTCAGAAGTTAATGAATGGAAAAGCTGTGTTTTTGGTTGGTGTGTGTTGTGATTTAAGTTGGGTGTGTAGAATGATAATGGATGCTCTGTTTTTGGGTGGTTTTCCTCTGTTTTGACGTTAGTTTAGTGGCAAAGGAAGAAAAAGATGAAGGTTAGTGAGGCTAGAAACCCTTAGCACGAAATGGGATTGTGTTGTCAATCAGGCCGCGATTGTTGTCAATGTGTGCCGCTACTTGTCAATGTAGCTCCTTAAGTTGTCAATGACAGTTGCGTGATTCTTGATGCAGGTTTAAGTTACTGATGGTAAGTACGTCTGGAAAACATCTATTTTGCTTTGTTCACATAAGGGAAAAGTTTATAAATGATGGAGAAGATAATATGAGATATGTGGGAGGTAGTGTAAGAACAACCAATGTAAAGGAGGGCACAAGTTATGAAGAATTGAAGGAAATTATATCATCAATTGTTGGAAAAGAAAGCAACTCATTTCTTCTGAAATTCTCAGTTGTGTTTGATAAAAAAACTTTTGTGGAGTTGGTAGATGATGATGGGGTGGAACATTTGATAAAGTTCAATGAAGAAAGTGGTCATGTGTATGTCGAAGAAAATGAAAATGAGGACCACATAGAAGCAACAAGGGATAATATATACAATGGAGGAGCAAGATGTGTAAGTATAGTTGAACAAAACTGTAAATGGGTGTGAAGGGAATTTTTTGTAAATCAATACACACCAATAGTTAGTTTCTTGTAATTACATGCAACCCCCGTGTTTTTTTGGAATGGGTTGTGAAATAGGTGTAGTTTCATGTATATGAAGGTGTAAATGAAAGTTGACTATGAATTGGCATGTTAGATTCTGCTGTCATTTAAGTTGTCATACCTGCACTCTGTATTGTCATTAGACCTGTTATGACTTATCAATAGAGCACTGTCACTTGTCAATTAATTTGCTGATGTAAGTTGTCAACAATATGAATTCAAGTTACATAACTTGTTTTAGTAACATATGATATTTTCAATCACTCTGTCATATTATATTTTTGGTTATTTGTCATATATAATCATTATTAATGAAGTGTCAATGGTGGCACTGTGACTTGTCAATGGTGGCATAGTGACTTATCAATCATGTCCTTAAGACTTGTTAATGGTGGTGCTGTGACTTGTCAATGGTGGCACTGTGACTTGTCGTTGGTGGCACTATGACTTGTTAATCGTGACACACGGACTTGTCATTGGTGGCAATTTGACTTGTCAATGATGGCACACGGACTTGTCATTGGTGGCAATGTGACTTGTCAATGGTGGCACTGTGACTTGCCAATGGTGGCATACTGAGTGGATTTTGAGCACCACGGTGGATTGTTAGAGTTACAAAAATGAGGTTGAATAGTTGATATGTCTTGCTTGGAGTTTAAAGTATTTGTGAAGATTGTATGCTCTGTAGTGGTTACTATATTCCTTTGTGGGGATTCTATTTCCATATTGATGATTGCGTCTGAAAAAGAGGACGAATAAAGGGCACTTCAATCCCAAACACTTTATGGCAACACAGACTGTGTGTATTTATTTGCTGCTGTTATACTTGTCAATGACTACTCTTATAGTTATCACTAGCAGCCTGCGTAGTTGTCACTGCATGCTCTGTTAGTTGTCACTGGATGCGGTGTTAGTTGTCACTGGATGCTGTGTTAGTTGTCATCACATGTTCTGTTAGTTGTCAGTGGATGCCTAGTTGACTAGATGTTGTGTTAGTTGTCACTGCATGCTCTGTTAGTTGTCACTGCATGCTCTGTTACTTGTCACTGGATGCTGTTACTTCACACTGGATGCTCTGTCATTTCTCAGTGGATGCTCTGTTAGTTGTTAGTGGATGCTGTTTTTTGTTACTGGATGCTCTGTCCCTTGTCACTAGATGCTATGTTACTTGTCACAATATGCTCTGTCCCTTGTCATTGGATGCTGTGTTGTTAGTAAAACCTTTTGATTATGTGTTTTTTTTTTGCAGATGAACTGTTTCCATACGATGTTGCGTGCTGTTAAGCCAAAGTTGTTTGCCAATGAGGACAAAATTGGCAACGAAGTGAAATGGGCTAAAGTTTATGTGCAGAATGATACGTGAGTGTAGTTGTTCTGTTTGATTGTGTTATGTTGTGTTTGTTCACAATAAAAATTGCATGCTGCTTACATATTGAATTTGCTTGGCAGTTATTCATGTGGAGTTCATGTCCTCTCTTGGCTACAAGAGTGGGATGGCACTGTTCGTGATGCTGCAGGATATACCATGCCACGATACTCCAATGATGAATTGCAAGAGTTGAAGGTCGGCTGTTTGTGGTGGTTGGTTACCCATCCACAAAATAAACATAGGGATGAAGTGATGTCAATGCTATTGGACTTCAACAAGAGTAAGAGGAGGAGATAGAGGAGTCCATTAATTTTTTGTTCTGTT